GAGCCAGGACTCCTGGGCGGGCCCTGGGAGGGGGGCTAGGTTGAGGTGGGTGGGGATGGGGGGGCCAAGACTCCTGGCTGCTCTGGCCTGAAGCTATCCCTCCCCTCCCTCTCTTTTGTCTGCCCTGGTGCAGGTCTCTCAGTGTTCACAGCTGCCTTGATCTATGCTGTCCACGTGGGGGAATTTCACCAGAGCCGGCAGCAAGGCGGCTCCTTCGGCTACTGCTTCGTACTGGCCTGGCTGGCCTTCCCCCTGGCCCTGATCAGCGGAATCATGTACATCCACCTCCGCAAGAGAGAGTGACTCCCGCCGCGGGGGGACTGCTCCTGACCACAGCCCTTGCCAGGGGGAGTCACTGCCATCGGCTGATCTCTTCCCCACAGCGGCCAGGCTGTCACACAGCACTGTGGCCCTGGAGCCGGCGTGGTCCCACCCAGCTCCCTTTGCCTTGTCCACACTGAGGCACGTGGGGTCGGGTCCCCCTCTGCATGGGCACCTTCCCTCCTGCCCATGGCCAGAGCTGCCCCCTACCCCATGGCTGGCCCACTGTGGGCAGGACATCCCGCCAGCTAGGAGCGACACTGTCCAATCGGCTCCCTGACCAGGCAGGGAATGGGAGCCCCCTGGTCCTGCCTTTACAGTCCCTAGGCCCCATTGTTTGACCTTGCCTGGCAAAGATGGGGAGAGGCTTCATTGCACCCCACTCCGAGTGTGGTTTACAAATCTGGGGACCTTGCCTGCTTTGCCACCCCTGGCAAAGATGGGGAGGGGCTTAAAGCCCTTGGCTTCACTCCAGTTGGCAGTTCCACAGTGCAAAGCCCTCCTCCCCTCCACAGGCAGGAGAGGGATACCAGGGGGGTGGTCCGGGGAAAGTGGGGGGGACACCCCTCCTTCCACAAAGCAGATATTTCCAAGCTCCACAGGGAGCCTTCCTTCAGCGGCATTTCAGCCACGGTTTTGTTCGCACCCAGCCCCGAGAACCAGCCTCTGGCATTTATACTTTTGGACAATAAAAGATAATCTTATCTACCCGCCTCGTGGCTTTGGCGGCACTTGTGCTAGGAACAAGCAAGGGTGGGTACAACTGGGGGACAGAATTTGTAGCAGCCCCAGACACTCCCATGTGACTGTCTCTCTCCAGGAGAGAGGGATCCCGGGTACCGACAGGCCATGCAACTGCCCCCCCGCCCCACTTCAGCAACGCTCTAGGCCTCTCCCTGGGCCCAGAAATCACACCCACGCTGAAAAGTGGTGCATCAGCTTTCCCCAAGCTGACAGGCCCTGCAAAGACCAGGACTGGTAGGAGGACAGGGATCAAGTCAAGAAACTTCTTTATTGCATGGCAAATACAGTAGAAATTTCCTTGCCCCCACAGTGGCTTTCAGGCAGGGAATAAAGCCAGGCTCCTCAGACTAAGACGTTTTACCATCGCTCAGCAGGGGAGGAACTTGTGCTCCAGGAGGGATCAAAGGACCAGAGCAGGGGGCTGGGAGCCAGGACTCTTGGGTTCTCTCCCCAACTCCAGGGAAAGTTGCTGGCTTGAAGCCTGGCTGGTCCGGAGTCGGCGTGGCCAACCCGCCAGTGGCTCCGTCGGAGGTGTGTTCTGTGCAGCCCTTGCCTGTGGTAACTAAAGTGCTTTCGTGGGGGGGGAGGGAGGGGGGGAAGGGGCCCAGCTTGCTTCCACTCCTGCCCAAAAGGCACCCTCACCAATAAATTAAGGCCAGGCCTGTGAAAATCAGCAACAGAGAAAAACAGGGGAAGAGCCCAGCAAAGCAACTCCTGCCAGCTGGCAGGCGTGGCCCCAAACCAGGGAGCTCTGCATGCAGCCTGCCAGCTCGGGCGGGCCACTCCGCCCCTCTCACAGCAAAGCCTAGCTCTTAGAAGCACCAGGTGCAAATCTCTCTGCCACACGCAGCCAGCGCTGGGATCCAGGCATGCCCCAGGGAGGGTTCGGCTGGGGGGCTTCCCGCCAAAGAGAAGGGGGATCCACAGTCCTAACACCTGGGGGGGTGACCGCTCGGCTGAATGAGCTTTGAGCCATTGGTGTCAATGGGCTGCCAGCTTCCCAGCATCACTCTTGGCTGGCAAACCCTCCGGGCACCAGGCGGCGCAGAGGGGGTTAACGACCTAGCAATCCAGCCCTGGCAGTCGCTGGATAACAACAGGGCCATGCCAAGCATGGAAGCTGGCGGGACTCCCAGAATGCACCACAACACACTCAGCGTTTGCAAGTATGGGGGGGCCCCTCAGTTCTCCTTCCCCCTGGGTGTTGCATGCTCCATATGGGGCCCCCTTCCAGGGTCGTCCCTGCCCTTTTCCCGGAGAGGCCGCAGCACAGCCAGGAGGAGGGGGCAGCGGTGCCCACACTGCAAAGCGCCAGCGGTGTCAGTGGGACCCAGGAGCTGTGGCAGGATCAGCCCAGTGCTGCCCCACAGGCCCAGCCCCCTCTAGGCTGAGCAGGTGCTGGCAAGCGCGGTCGGCACAGAAGGAGACATCCAGGCCTGAGTGGAGCCGTAGCCATGACTGGACGTGCTCCCGAAGGCCAGCCACCGTCTCTGGGTCTGTGGAGAGAGGGGGTGTGGGTCAACCCTGGTGAGAGACCCCCCCCAGCTGGGAAACTCCCAGAAACCCCCATCCCCAGGAGACCACACATGGCAGGAGCCGCCCCCCACCCCCCATGGCAGACCCACACCCTACTCTCAGCTCTGCCTGCCAATCCCATGAGTGCATTCCTGGCTGGGGAACCCCCCTCCCTCTGTGAGTCCTGCCCCCTTCCTGCCGCTGAGGGCACCCCCTGCCGGGGAAGCCTCATCTCCCAGCCCTGCCCCTCTGCTGAGAGCACCCCCTACCGGGGAGACCCTATCTCCCAGCCCTCTTTGCCCCCTAAGCTGAGAGCACCCCCTGCCAGGGAGACCCCCATCTCCCATACCTGCCCCCCTGCTGAGAGAGACCCTATCTCCCAGCCCTGTACCCCTGCTGGTCCCTACCTGCAGGACTGTGCAGGGGCTGAGCCGGCAGCCGGCGCAGGAAGCTGTGTGCCAGGATCAGCTCCTTGGCGTGTTCCTCTTGGGCGCGCAGGACCAGGGCGCCCAGCAGCTCCGAGTTGTTGGAGGTGCTGCGGTAATACAGCATGTGCGCCAGTTCCAGGGAGTGGATATTCCGCCGCTGCCCGAACACCTGCGTGGGGAGCATGAGGTAAGGGCGCCTGGGCTCGCTCCACAACTGGGGGAGGGCAAGGGAGACTACTGGTTACAGCCAGGACTCCGGGGTTCTGTCTCCCAGCTCTGGGAGAGAAGGGGATGCAGCACCAAGGCCTGGCAGTTCAGTGGCTCCCATCACCATGATGTTGCGAAGGCTACGACTTGAACAGGGTTCAAAAAAGAGCTGGATAAATGCACGGGGCACAGGTCCATCAATGGCTGTTAGCCAGGCTGGGCAGGGATGGTGTCCCTGGCCTCTGTGTGCCAGAAGCTGGGAATGGGGGACAGGGAAGGGATCACTTGATTCCCTGTTCTGTTCAGTCCCTCTGGGGCACCTGACAATGGCCACTGTGGGCAGACAGGACACTGGGCTAGTTGGACCTTTGGTCTGTCCCAGTGTGGCTCTTCTTATCAGACACTGAAGGGAGCCTTCAACTGCCCCAGAGTCAGGGGGAGGCCCTGTGGTCTTATGGGTAGGGTGCTGGGGCCCTGAGTGTTCTTCCACCTCTAATCATGACCCGCTGGGGGAACCTGTCAACTCAGTTCGGCAATCTGTGCCTCGGTTTCCCCTCTCTGCCTTGTCTATCTAAATTGTGAGCTCTTTGGTGCAGGACCTGTCTCCATGAGAGCATACAGGAACCAGCACCATGGGGTCTGCATGGCACCCATGCAATGGGGGCCCTGATCTCAGCTGGGGAAAGGAGTTGGCACAGTCCTGACCTCACCCGGGGCCCCAATGTCGGTGGGTCGGGAGGCGGTGCGGCCCTGACCTCGCCGGGGCACCTACCTTCCAGGCGCGGAAGGTCATGAAGGCAGCGAAGCAAAGCAGCAGGAAGCTGGTGCCGATCTTGAGGTCAGACAGCACGACCATGCCGACGTTGACGAAGAGGGCCAGCCCACTCACCACCAGCGTGACGTTCAACAGCGTCTTGTAGAACATGGACGTGCGGATCCTCAGGGCTGGAAGCAGCTGCTCCAGTGCCTCCAAGGGGATGTCCTTGAAGCACTTTAACACCAGGTGGGAGTGATAACGCCTGGTGTGGGGAGGGAAGCACCGTCAGCGGGGTCAGATGTAGGGCCAGGCTCCATGGGGCTCAGGCCGAGACCAAAGGCAGGGAAGAGAGGTCATGACCCCAGAAAAATCTCTGAGGCCAGTACTGATTGCTGAGCCGCCCAGTCTGCTCCTGGGGGCACTGAATTCAGCACCAACCATGAAGAGAGAGCACCCCCTACAGAGTCCCTAGCAGGACCCCAGCCCCTAGCACTGCTCCAGAGCACTGGGGCAAATGCTGACTGCCAGGAAGAGCGCCCTCCGCTGAACCTCCCACCCCACTCCCTGCAGCCCAGGATCCCCATGCCCCCAAGTCATTCTACTCCTAGAGATCCCCCTTGCCTTATTGCGGGGGCCCGGGCTGTGCTAAACAGCCCCTTGCGGGGCCCCAACGTGGATTTCACCGGGAGGACTCCCACACGTTGGCCGAGGGCCCAGAACCGGATGTATTCGTATTGATCCAGGTTGACCGAAACCTGGGGAACAAAGGGAAAAAACCCTATAGCCACAGCACACAATAGGATGGGTCCTCGAATGCATCTGCTTCTGGGGAGGGGCTATATGAGGATCCCTTGCTGGGCACAGTGACACGGCTCCTCTGGGATGTTTATCCAGCAATCCCCTGACCTATGTTGAAAAGCAGCCGCTTTCAGGTGAGGTGCAGGCGCTGTTTATACTGGGACCCCTTGCCTGTTGTTGAGATGCAGCCGTTTCTGGGATGGGGAAGAGGGTTTTGTCACTGCACCGCTCAGAGAGGGAAAGGAAGTCCTCTATACCTGATGAGATTGTAGGCAGGCAGGAGGGACTGTCCTGAAGTGGTAACCAAGGGAGAGAGACAGTTCCTGGGGGCAAGAGGCCTGCTGCATTAGTAGCAAGGGCAGCACGAAATTATCTTTTCCCGTGTGTTACACTGGAGCAGTGACGGACTGCCGCTCCCCTCCCCAGGCCGCACCTGGACCTCATCCTGAGGGTGATGCACCATGAGGGCGTAGGCCAGAGCATCCTCTGACAGGCTGTTGAAGTTGGCCTGATCCAGCACCGGTTCTAGCTCAGCCAGGACCTGCCGCTCCTTAGCCAGGCGCTCCGTATCACTCAGGGGCAACTCCGCCAGGGTCTCTCGGTCAGGGTTAATGGGGTCGTAAAGAGCCTGTGGCGAGGGTAACAGGAGGGTACATGTGCGTGGGGCAGAGGTGGGCAAAAGGGCCTCCACGGGTCGGATCTGACCCTCCAAGCAGGGTCTGGGGGCAGGGGAGCGTGCGAAGCCTCCTCCAGCCCTGCCAGGAGCATGTGGCACTTTGAAGCACCGTGTGCTGCTCACAGGGTGTGGGGGGAGAGTGGAAAAGACTTTGCACGCTCCCCCACCACCAGGCCCTGATTGGCCTAGAGGTGGGGGAGCATGCCAAGCCTCTTCCAGGGCATGGGTGCCTAGTGGAAAGGAGGGGCAAAGGGGATCCCCCACCTCCTAACAATTCATGGTTGCGGGGTGGGGTAGCCCCGCCCCTTCCCGTTTAGGCCCTGCCCCCTCTGAGGTGGCCCCTGGGGAAAAATGATTGCCCACCCCTGGTGTGGGTGTGCCCAGCCCCAAAGATCCCACAGCACCATGGTGAGATGTGGCCAATCCTGGGACAGAGTAAGGGAGCTGTTGATACAGCAATCCTTCCCCTGGCAGAAATGCAACCTCCACTGGGGTGGAGCACTGGGGCTGCTGATAGAGAAAAGCCACAAACGAGCTGTCCCTCCCCTTCCCGAATCCCTGCCCTGCACCCAGCAGCACAAACCCCGTAGGGCTGCCCAGGGGGCCGCACTGACCACCGACGGAGAGCATCCCCCCCACCCACAGTGTTTTCTTTCGCTAGGTCTCATCCAACCTCCAGCCCGGCTCAGCTCTTTCCGAAGGTAACAGGAGGCGTCTTACAGGGACAACTTACCTGCAAGTGCCCCAGGAGGGAATGGTAGCGGTGCAGGAGGGATAAGTCCACCCGTGCCACAAATGCCAGGAAGGAGGCCCGCTCAGCATCGCTGGAAGAGTGGAACTCCTGGGGGGGGGGATAGTTAGTGCCATGAGGACTCACCAGAGACCAGCGTCCCTGGATCTCAGAGGTGTGCCTACTCTATACTGTGTGCAAGAGCCATCCCCTGTGCTGCTCGGACCACCTAACTGAGCAGGGGCTGGTTATATTATATGGGACTGCCTCTGGGGCAGTGTATAAAGGGAGACCTCACCCAGGGCTGAGATGCAACCACCTCTGGGGTGGGACTGTTTTACGGGTTGTCTCCGGGGTGGGATCAGAATGACTGGGAGGAGATTGCCCTGCACCCATCCCGCTCCCTGCTGCAGACAGGTGTTTCCCCTCCACATGCCGACACAACCTGACCCTGTGTCACTTTGAGGTGTCCCACTCCCTCTCCAGGAGCCTGCTGTACCTTGAGAAGGGCGCTGCCACCTCTGGGGTGGGACTGTTTTACGGGTTGTCTCCGGGGTGGGATCAGAATGACTGGGAGGAGATTGCCCTGCACCCATCCCGCTCCCTGCTGCAGACAGGTGTTTCCCCTCCACATGCCGACACAACCTGACCCTGTGTCACTTTGAGGTGTCCCACTCCCTCTCCAGGAGCCTGCTGTACCTTGAGAAGGGCGCTGACCAGCCCGGGGCAGGGCAGCCCTGGCACCCCATTCCCCAGGGCAGTCCAGGCCGCACTCAGCATCCTGCAAGAGAGGCAGACATCAGCAGGACTCAACAAAGCCACCCTAGTCCTGCAGCTACCAGCTCCCGCTCCGCCAACATTTCACTCCTCAGCTAACCTGCCTGTCACGGGGCCCCGTTTATACAGGGATCCCCTTGCAAGGCACTAAAATGCAGCCCCTCTGGGGCCAGGTATGGGGACAGTTTATATGGGGACCCCATGCCCATTGCTCAGATGCAATCCCTTGCTTGCTGAGATGTGGCCTTCTCTGGAGTGAGGTGCAGGTGGGTTATTTGTTCAGGGGTCCCTTGTCCGGGAACCGAGCTGAGACCCAGCAACTCAGTTCACACATGGGCCTAACAAGCAGAGGTCAGATGAAAACAACTTTTAGTGCTCAGCTTGGGGACGAGTGGAACCAGCACCTGCTGAAGGAGACAAGCCCCATGCCCCAGTCACTGTCCCCCACCCACCCTGCTCTGGGTGGAAACCAGCAACCCCCAGAGGGGGAAGACCCCCATGCCCCATTCCCCAACCACCCACCACCGCCCAGCAGCCATATCCATGGCCAGTGCAAGCCTGCTTCTCTGTTGCAGCCACTACCAGGAGTCAGGTCTGGAGAGGCTCTTTAGATTCCTCCATGGCACCATTTAAACCCACTGTCCCAGCAGAGAAAGGCGTGGGGTTGCAGGATTTTAGGAGGAAGACCCCACTGGAGAGTTCAAAGGTCACAAGCCCTGGGCAGGAGTAGCAGAGTTGGCTTGGCTGCTATGTAGGGTTCAAAGGTCACTTGTCACAGGGTAGTAGCAGTAAAAGTGTCTTGGCCACCGTGGCAGCAGCAGGGAGGACGACTGGGCCGCCGTGCAGGGGTCAAAGGTCGCCGGCAGTGGGGCAGCAGCAGCGAGGAGGCCTGGGCCGCCGTGCAGGGGTCAAAGGTCGCCGGCAGTGGGGCAGCAGCAGGGAGGACGACTGGGCCGCCGTGCAGGGGTCAAAGGTCGCCGGCAGTGGGGCAGCAGCAGGGAGGACGACTGGGCCGCCGTGCAGGGGTCAAAGGTCGCCGGCAGTGGGGCAGCAGCAGGGAGGACGACTGGGCCGCCGTGCAGGGGTCAAAGGTCGCCGGCAGTGGGGCAGCAGCAGGGAGGACGACTGGGCCGCCGTGCAGGGGTCAAAGGTCGCCGGCAGTGGGGCAGCAGCAGGGAGGACGACTGGGCCGCCGTGCAGGGGTCAAAGGTCGCCGCCCCCTACCCTTGGGCAGGGCTGTGTTGACATTGAGCATTTGCGCATGCGCAGCAGAGCCTCCTCGCTTTCTCCCTCCCTCTGCCCCGCCCGTCCCTTTCCACGTTGCGCATGCGCCCATTTCTTCCTGCCTCCCAGGCTGCGCGTGCCCTGCTGTTTCCCCTCCCAAATTCTTTTTTCCCGGCAAGCCCGCGCGCCTGATTCGAAAACCCGGCGCGCGCGCTCCTGCCTCTGCCGTCTCCAACCGCCGCCTCAGCGGCAGAGTTCTAAATAGGGGCGTGGCCGGGCTCTAGCCAATCAGGCGTCGAGCTCCTCCCCTCTTTCTCTCTCCCCCCCCCATCAGGGCGGGGAGGGTCTTGAAAGGAAAGGGCGGGAAAAGGGGACTGAGGAGAGACTTTGAGGGGGGTGAGGAGGGAGCTGGGTCTCTGAGGTGGGAGTCTCCCCAAATGCCATGAGACTCCCACTATCATGTCCTCATAATGAAGCCACAGCTGGTGTCCTGCCAAACCCTCATAGTCAAGGGGAGCTGAGGCGGACACAGCTGGGGTCATGCCAATCCCCCAATATCAGGGAGAGCTGAAGGGGGCTCAGCTGAGGTCATGCCAATCCCCCAATATCAGGGAGAGCTGAAGGGGGCTCAGCTGAGGTCATGCCAATCCCCCAATATCAGGGAGAGCTGAAGGGGGCTCAGCTGAGGTCATGCCAATCCCCCAATATCAGGGAGAGCTGAAGGGGGCTCAGCTGAGGTCATGCCAATCCCCCAATATCAGGGAGAGCTGAAGGGGGCTCAGCTGAGGTCATGCCAATCCCCCAATATCAGGGAGAGCTGAAGGGGGCTCAGCTGAGGTCATGCCAATCCCCCAATATCAGGGAGAGCTGAAGGGGGCTCAGCTGAGGTCATGCCAATCCCCCAATATCAGGGAGAGCTGAAGGGGGCTCAGCTGAGGTCATGCCAATCCCCCAATATCAGGGAGAGCTGAAGGGGGCTCAGCTGAGGTCATGCCAATCCCCCAATATCAGAAAGGGGCATAAGTGGGATCACGCCTACCTCCATGTCAAGAAGAGCTGATAGGGCACAGCTGGTGTCATGCCAACTCATAGACAGTTCGAGGTCACATAGCTGGGATTACGGTGTCATGCCAGTCCCCTCAATGTCACAGAGCTGAGGGGTATACAGCCAGGGTCATGTCCACCCTCCTACTATCAGAAAGAGCTGGGTGGTGAGAGGGGGCACAGCCAGGGTCATGCCAATGCCTCTCATGTCAAAGAGCTGGGCTGGGATTTGAGGGGATACATAGGGCATAGCTAGGGTCATAACAATACTGCCACAGTCAGATTTGGAGCTGGGATGATGGCAATCCCCTTGCATCAAAGGGTATACCTCTTTGTGAGAGAGAGCATGATATGATGGGGGAACAACTGGGGTCACACCAATCCTGCCTCTGCCAGAAAAATTAGGGTGTACAGCCATAGTCACACTAGAGTCACGCTAACACCACAGCAGCCAGGAAGGTGTCAGAGAGCAGAGCCAGGGTTATGCCAATCCCACCACAATCAGGAAGAGCCTAGAAGTTAGAGGGTCAGAAGCAGGGCTGGGGGTCTCACCCCAATCATAGCAGCAAAGAGACCTATGATGGTAGGAGGCAAAACTGGGATCATGCTAACTCTGATGCAGTCAGGGGGACAGGTCAGAGGGCACAGCTGGGCTGATATCATTGCAGCCCCAGTCAGAGATAACAAGGTTGTTGGGCTCAAAGGATGGTAGTCACAACAACCCTGCCATCTTAGGGTGCGTCTATACAGCAGCGCTTAACTCACAATAAGCTACACGAATTCAGTTATACTTCAATTGCGTAGCTTATTTCTAAATAGCTTATTTCAAAATTGGGAGCATCTACACAGCACTTATTTCGAAACAGAGCACTCTTCCTCCAACTTCCCTTACTGTTTGTACAATGAGGGTTACAGGATTCAGAGTAAGAAGTTTTCCAGCTTGACAGTATTTCAACATTATTTCGAAATAACTGCTTGCTGTGTAGACGCGGACTAAATAATGTTGCTATGTAGACATACCCTTTAGGTGCAGCAAGGTATGAGGGCTCAGATAGCAAAGACAGGGTCATGCCAAGCCTGCAGCTGTCAGGAATGATGGCAACATGAGAGACTAGCGGTATATCTACACTCCGTCATGTCCAAGGAACGCGTTTGCTCTTCCATATTTTTTTGTGGAAGAGCTAATGTGCTCTTTCAGGGAGCACTGTATACCTCATTCCATGAGGAATAAGGGCTCCTCCAAAGAGGAGGCTTTTCTGCCATTTGGCCCCATCTACAAGCCTCATCTGGAAAAGCAATCGGAAAAACTATGCAAATTGCGGAACACAATTTGCGTAGCTTTTTCCAAAAAAACCTATAGTGTAGACCTAGCCTCAAGGGAAGAGTCAGAATTATTCTTGCTGCTGGAGGGTCCCACTATCCACATCCTCACCATGGTTAGGGAAAGCAGGAATCAGAGGGTGTGTCTACACAGCAGGGCTTGACTCGAAATACGCTACGCAAATTGAGCTACATCAATTGCGTACCTTATTTCAAAATTGGGAGCATCTACACAGCACTTATTTTGAAATAAAGCACTCTTCTTCTGACTTCCCTTATTTCTCATACATTTTGGCTACATCTACATGGGCCCCTTTTCCAGAAGGGGCATGTTAATTTCAGCGATCGTAATAGGGAGGGGGATTTAAATACCCCCCGCGGCATTAAAATAAAAATGTCCGCCACTTTTTTCCGGCTTTTAGAAAAGCCGGAAAAAAGCGGCGGACATTTTTATTTAAATGCCGCGGGGGATATTTAAATCCCCCGCGGATTTCCCTATTACGATCGCTGAAATTAACATGCCCCTTCCAGAAAAGGGGCCAATGTAGACGTAGCCTGAGGGTTACAGTAGTCAGAGTAAGAAGTACTCCAGCTTGACATTATTTCGAAATAACTGCCTGCTGTGTAGAAGCAGACTAAGTTATTTTGAAATAATGTTGCTGCATAGACATACCAAAAGAGTGTCAGCCCTGTCATATTCCAGGATATTCATCTGGGAGGGTGTCCATGGCTGGGAAGGATCAAACAGTAGAACTGGGTTCAGGCAAACTCTGGCATGGTCCAGAATGGTGGGATGTGTCCAGCACAAACAGTTACCTGGTTGCCAGGGGTCAAAGGGCAGAACCAGGGTCAAATTCTTCCCCTTTGACTCATGATACCTGGCTGGGTGGCTTACAGGACAAAGTGAATGTCATGCTTACTCTACAGTATAGACTGGGATACCTCCTGCCAAATTCCCTGCAGCCAGGCAGGGTTAGCCAGAAGTAGGAGAGCGGAGAGCTGGTGTTACATGAATTCCATGGCAGTAAATTAGGAGCATTCTGCTGAAAATAAGAAGGGGAAGCATTATTAGGATCCAGCTCTTGGCCCTTCTTCATGTGTGATTGAGAACTAAAGATTACCTAGCAATGGGACCACCAGACACCTCTTCTTGCTATCCATCACCACTTCTAACCTCTTGTCTGTTTTCTTGCCTCCCTCTAGCACTCTGAAGGTCCATCTTCACCCTGAGGCAGGATAAGAAGACAGCAGGATGAGAAGGGTGAGATCCAGTTTGCAGGAGCTCTCAGAAAACAATGTGGTCCAGTTCCTGAAGAAACCTCAGACCATTGCTAGGATCCTAGCTGGGGTGAGAAACCAACAGAAAAAGGCCACCTCACACTAAATCCTCCAAGTCCCATGATGGCGATGTAGCCTCACAATCAACACTGGCTTAACCCTTGACAAAATGTGCCCTGATAATTAATTATGAACATGTATAGTAGTGATCAAAAAGGCCCCAGTTAGGGTTTGGTCCCATTGTGCTCAGTGCTGTGCAAACTCAGAAAGAGTCCTTGGAGAGCTTGCAAACTGAAGTCCTCCATTCCCAGGGCATATGGATGGATGGACACAGCACACCCCTGCCTACATCCCCCTCTCATAGTATTGCCAATTCTGTATGAAGCCAGGGGGCCTGAAAATATAAAACATCCCTAAGTAATAAATGTTTTGAACATCAGAGTTTACTTCAAGCTTTGGGCAAAGCACCTGCCCTCTTCATATTTCACCCAATCCAGGCCTGTCTGTAAAAAGGGACATGATTTCAGGTGTCCTGACGCTGACCTGCTAGGTAACCCTATTCCCACTCTGTACCTCAGTTTTTGTATCTGTGAAATGGAGATAATACTTCCTTTGTAAAGTGCTTTGAGAGTGACTGATTGGTGAAAAGTGCTAGCTAGGAGCTGCTTATCCTTTTCTTTCACTGTTCATTGGCTAGTAATTAATTCATATATTCATATTATGTTTTGCTTGCTGGCTGGGATGTAAGTATTCTGATATGTGCCCAGGTCCCGCCATCATTATTATCAGCGTTCAGGTCGCAGAACACAGCATAAACTTCTTGTGGCAGGGCTGTTTTAAATGGACAACAAGCAGGACTATAGCCCCTATCTATTGGATACTGATATGCGGTCACACACAGCCTAGAACTGAACTCAGATGTACTGAGTCAGATCTATGGTTGCCCTAACCCCAAGAGCAACCTCTCATGAGAGCAAAGCCTATTCTTTATTGCTACAGCAGAGTGGGAGGCCAGAGTTCAGGCATCCCCAGAAATTCCAGAGCTACAAACAGAAAGTGTCCAAGGATTTCTCTGCCCAAACTGATAAATAATCTTTTATCAGAACCCATTGCTGCAAGGCACCAAGCAATTTCAGCAACCGTTAAAGTAAACTGGAGTCATATAATCATAGAAATGCAGGTCTGGAAGGGACCTTGAGAGATCACCTAGTCCAACCCCCTGCACAGAGGCAGGACCAAATAAACCTACACCATTTCTGACAGCAGGGTCGCATTATGACTTTCGTGGGCCCTAGGCACTTTTGCCTTTGTGGGCCCCTTCCTCCATAAAAAAAAATATTAAAAATTATTTTTGATATAACTTTAAATACTTCAACATTTTATTTTTTTCTGTTTTAGGCAAAATTTAATAGATTTTCCTGGGCCCTAAAAGTTTCATTTTTTTCTGATGTGAGAAAAAGATTAAAACATTTTCTTCTACCCTAAAAGCTCACTTTTTTTCTTTTGATTTTAAAAGAAATTAAAACATTTTTGTGGGCCCCTAAAAGTATCGTGGGCCCTAGGCACTGTGCCTAATGGATAAGTCGGCCCTGCCTGACAGGTGTTTGTTCAATATAGATGATTATGATGGTCCCTTCTGGCCTTATAGTCTATGAGTCTATAATCTGTTCTTAAAAACCTGTAATGATGGGGATTCCACAGCCTCCTTTCAAAGCCAATTCCAGAGCTTAACCTCCTTTAGAGTTAGAACATTTTTCCTAATATCTAACCTAAATCTCCCCTTGTTGCAGATTAAGCCGATTACTTCTTTCCTACCTTCAGTAGATGTGGAGAACAACTGATCACAGCCTTCTTTATAACAGCCCTTAATATATTTGCAGGCTATTCTCAGGTTCCCCATCAGGCTTCTTTTCTCTAGAGTAAATATGCCTAGTTTGTTTGCCTTTCTTCCTAGGTCAGGTTTCCTAACATTTTGATAATTTTTGTTGCTCTCTATTATTTGTATTGTGGTGGTGCTTAGGAGTCCCAGCCACAGACTGAGACTCCCATGGTCTAGGTCAGGGGTGGGGAACCTAAGGCCCGGGGGCTCGCCTGAATCCAGCTCCCGGGATTCCCCCTTCCCAGCATTGGGTAGCCCACAGGACTGGAGCACACAAAATCTAGTAGCCTGGGCCCCACTAGGCTCTGATATGCAAGTGGAATGTGGGGAGTCTTTCTTCTTCTCAGTTGGGGGTCAGGATCTAGGTGCTGTACAAACAGCACTTGCCCCATACTGCTTAACTGCTCAACTCTTCATTTTATTGTGTATGTTACAGAATAACACAGTTCAGGATTGGGGTCCCATTGTGCAGAGTACTGAGCAAATAGAGACAATCCCTGCCTCAAATATCCTACATTCAGAGAAGAGCTGGCAGGACAATCATACTACTCACCAGTCGCCTCAGCCCTAGACAATTCCAGTGGTGTATCTATGTACATGTGGTTAACTCTTTCACTCTTTGCCACTCCAGCTCTTCTCGCTGATCATATTTGCCTCCCTTGTGACCGACGGCTACCAGAACCTGACAGCTTCATCCCAGCTGCGCTGCGTGCTGAATGACAATGGGGTGGCCTGTGGCTATGCCATCACAGCTGGGATCTTGGCATTCCTACAGTCCTTCCTCTTCCTGGCCTTCGATGCTTACGACAGCATCATCATTAGCCACAAAGTCAAATCTGTCATCCTGAGTGTGGACCTGACCTTCTCCAGTAAGTAATTACTCCCACAAATCCAAATGTCGTTCTATAGGGTTGATCACCATCTTAGCACACAGGCAAGCCTCTTTTCACTCATGCACTTTCAGTCCTTCTCACTTTGGCCAGAGCCAAAAGGCTAAAAATCTTGCCATTAAGATATCTTGTCTGCTGTCCCATTGGTCTGTCATCACTCTTTTCCAGTACCACATTAGATCAACTATCAATTAAGCACGGTATCCCCTCCACAGATATTTTCAATCAGAAAAGCAGCCTGCTTAAAGCAAGTACCTTTACCACCAGATCTGAGCAAAGGTGCACTATCTCTGGCTCCCCAATCAGGCTAATGATCCAGTGTTAAGCTGCATCTGCCCATAGCTACCTGCGGTACTGGATCATACCAATAGTTCCTGAATAGCACTTTTTCATCAGTAGATCTCAAAGTTCTTTACAAGGAGGGGAAAATAGCATCACCCCCATTTTACAGATAGGGAAACCGTGGCACTGGGCGGTGAAGTGATTTACCCTTACTAAGCCAAGAATTAAACCCAGAGTCTCCTGAATTCCAGTCCAAGGGAGTCCAGTGTTCCATCTACCTTGGTATTCTGTCTCCTTCCAAAGTCTCAGAAGACAAAAGACCCCTTCTTACATCCACAGTTGTCCTGTGTTGTTCATCAGAAATAAAAATACCCACCAGCTTCTCAAGCAGCTTATTCCCTGGAGCAGGAAGTGTCACTGAGTTTCCCATTAGCTCAGTAAGTACAATAACCACTTGGGAGTATTGTATGATGTTTTTCAGTTGCTTTATTCTTTAAAATGCAGTCCTGTTATCTCAGTCATGCTGGAAGTGTGCCTCAGACAAATAGGAACACTCACCATTTGCTTTTGCATGGACCTTTGACAGCTCCATTCCCACCGCACCATAACTCCCCCTACACACTGTTTGCATTGCTCATAATCTTGCTCCCTGTCTTTCCAGTCATCTGGTCATGCATATGGTTCGTTGGCTTCTGTTTCCTGGCCAATCAATGGAACAGGTCTACTCACCACTACCTGCTGGGAAGCAGCTCGGCCCGCGCCAGCATCGCCTTTGCTTTCTTCTCTGTCCCCTGCTGGGTAAGAAATTCTCACTTCTCTTTCTCTGCTTTAGTCCTTTCCAAAGTGAATACACCCTATTGATCCAGCAATCATAGCAAAGGCCCTGCTGTGCTGCCTTGTAAGAAAAAAGTTTCACTACTGGGAGGGAAGTAAAGGAGATTTCTCCTCTTAACTGAGACAAAATTGGCCCTTTCTGGGAACCTGCAATAACTTCAAAATGAAAGGGGGGTATAGGGGTGCTACTGGGATCCCCTTCTAGTTCTCTCCACTGCAGCAGGGGGCTCCTTTTTTCTGATCACTTAACATGGAGGTAGCACTTATTTTCAAAGCAATTAATCCTTTTAAACCAATATGGGGAAACCAAGGCAAGAGTTTCTGCCTCCTTTGCTGGCAAGACGTGTTTAATCCAATAGTCCACGCAAATCCTATCCATAGCTGTGACTTCCCACCCAGAACTGACAGAATTCCTCATTTTATTTCATACTGACACCACGCCCCTTCATGTTTTGCAAGACTACCTCTGCCTTGAGAGGTTCCAAAAAGAAAGTCTGATGCCTTTGTCTTTAAGGGGAGCATCAGTTGCTGAGTGCCTCTTGGGATCAGACCCTTAACAGATCATCGGCAGATGGGTGACTCATAATTTCCTCAACACTGCTGACCTAGTCTTTTGCTGTCAGAAGGGGCCTTCTCACAAGATCTGTTACAGACCTTCCCTATCTCAGTCAATCATGAATGGGCACCAAATTAACTGAGTGATTCAGGATTCTGCCATCCATAGGTGGAGATATTCCAGAGCAGGAAGTGGGAGATTCTGATGCCAAAAAGAAGGGGGACTTCTTTAGAAAAGCTTAATTGACCAGTTTACAAATTGAGGGCCAGATTCTTAGCTTCAGTAAATCAATTGTTACTCTAATGAAGTAACAGCTACACAGATTTGCACCACAAGGGTTTCTAGCCCTTCTAGTCTGAGAACCTGTGTTCACTGCTAAATTAATCTGAGTGTTTCCCCTAATTTAAGTCCCATGCACACACAATAACCCCTGAGTGTGGGGTGGTGCTCCTGGTCCAAGGTATGGCACAGGCAAAAACTCTAGGAAGCCCAGGTCATCTGCTTTTTCCATGACCTCTTTACAGTGTGGAGGCAATCTAGGTCTACTCAAGTGCTGCTTGTCTTACCCACGGTTCTCCCCTTGTGCCCAGAAAGGACAGACAAGTTCTCCTGTAATTAATTCGAAAGAATAAAGAGCAGATTAGCTTACTGCAGTGCTCAGAAGCACCAGATATGCCCCCCAAGGTCCTAATTTGAACATTGCTAATATATGCAGTAGGGCTATACCCTAAGAGTAAAGGGAGATGCTTGGACTAAGAATGACATGTGTGATAGGTCTCCCTGTCTCTGCCTTGCAGGTGTATCTGGGCTACCAAGCCCTGTGGGGCCTGTGGGCTGAGCCCCCCATTCCCTACAAACAGTCCTTGGACGAAGGTGCTGTGGCCCTGACCACGCTCTCTTCTGTCACCACTACCTCCATCCCCAACAGCATGGATTATCACAGCCCCACTGATGGTAGCGGTGCCAGCTCCACCCCCTTCCCGCAGACTCCCATAGGAAACCGGCTCACTTTCATGAATGACAATTAGAGATCTATTTTTTTTCCCCTGCAGTAAATAAAGAGAGGCTTTTTCTTTCTCAACCAGAACCTGAGTGGCTTAATTCAAATCATAAGACAAGAGGGAGGGAGACTTGATACACAATGCAGTGTTGAGATGAAAGCCAGCAATCACGGGTATCAAACTCATTGGGTGCAAAAGGACAAATTACATATATAATTACAGCCCTAAATCCAGGACTCCATTCCCCTGCCACGCTACTGATACCAACTGGAAGTTTGCAAAAGTGGAGGGTAGAATGTATCTAAATTAGTTACAGTTCTTTATCGTCCTATTTGGTGACAATAAAGAGAGATATATCAACCCCTTAGAGGTCAGTGGTATATCTGCCCTCTTCCTTTCCCCATCCCACTCTCTCTTCCTATCATTGTGGCTCTGCTGTTCTTCTTGCTGCATTTCCTTCCCTATTTCATTGACAAAGTGGCATTCAAATCAACACATCAATGAGATGCAGAAGCGAGGAGTTTACATGTCTCCAAGCAGTAATTTCAGGCTGTCTGCAGACTCAAGTAGGTAGCGCTGCTTTGATTTAACCTCAGTTCCCAAGGGGGTTTTCTTCACAACCAGAAGGGTTGCGGAAACGTACTTTTAAACAACATGGGAAAAACTGAGATTCTGCATCATCTGAATGTGGCACAAGGACTGTCAACTTATTTGAAACCTCTGGAACAGGACTTACTTTATGTGGGCTGAACAGAAATAAGTGATCTTTGAAGAGCTCAGAATTAGTGCTGAACAAAAAACAGTTTCTATTACCACAATTTCCATTTTTCAGCAGAAAAAGATAAATCAGAAGCTGAAATATTTCAGTTCAAATAGGCTACTGTAATGTTTCACAGGAGTTGTAATTTGGATGCCATTCTGCACAATAAGTGAGGCTCCCTGGTTGTAGCTATGCATCTCCCATGATTTATAACCATCTCTCCACTTGCTGAAAGGAAGTGGTACTTCATGGGAAATGAAAATCAGCTGGGAAGCCCAGCCCGTAGAGGAGACTAGAAATATTGAGGCACCTGAACTACCATTCCCATGAGGTACTACAGCAGCATGTCCATATGAACGGTCATAGTGGGTCAGACCAATAGTCCATCTAGCCCAGTATCCTGTCTTTGACCTTGGTCAATAGCAGAACTTCAGGGAGAGCATACAGAAGAGAGATGCAGCCTGTCTCTCATCTCGCATTCTGGCAATCAAAGCTTTCAAGTCGCCTCAAACACAGTGTGTCCCTTACCATCTTGGCTAATACTAGTGATGGACCTATCCCCCATGAACTTATCAATTTTTTTAAAAACAGTCATACCTTTGACCATCACAACATCACATAGTAATGCATTCCACAGGTTAATTGTGTTGTGTGAAAAATCAAATCCAAATTAAAATATTTCAGGTTTGAGACGTTCATTTTTGGATGAAATAATTCAAAATCACCTGTGGAAAAAAGCAGACCTTTTCTGTCAAAAAATTCTTTCATCAAAGCCCTACATTTCCATGAAAAAAAGTTCTAATAGCAAACATTAAATGGCACACAGCAAAACCACATTTGAGACAGGAAGTGATGGGGAGCCCTATATCCAATTGAAAGTGTCAGAGGAATAGAGGGGAAACAAAGAGGTGACCACACACAGAAAGGAAAACAAAGCAGGTTTCTCTTTTATTGAATTTTTTTCCCCAAAAAAGGCACTACGTTGATTTTTTATTAAGAAAAAAAAAAGAAAATTGTTTTCTTCTGTTTATTTAAAGTGAACAAGGAATTAACCATCAATTATGTACAAAACAAGGAAATTTACAGAATTTAGTGTGTCACATCCTCTTCACCAATAAAAAAGGAATAAACTGAGAGACAGATTCAATTCCCACCTCAAAATGAAAAAAAAATGGATTTTTATCAAAAGGAACCAGAAGCTGTTTAAATGCCTCCCCCTGTGGTGTGAAACAATGCTCCCACCCTACACCTCGAACACAGAGCACCCCAAAAAACCTGGCCTTCATCTGAGCAGACAATGACAAAAACCACGCTGCAGGCACCAAAGACCTCAGCAAACCTGTCTGGCTATACAAGCAAGGGATCAGCCGAAAGGGAAGAGAGAAGCTCGTTTAAAATGTCCTCGGCTGTTTGGGAAGAGGGAGAAAAAGAAGAGAAGGGGCAGGAGAAATGGGACTGGGTGTTTTCAAAAGGCAAAAAAATCCCACAGACTCTGAAACCCAGAGAACCATCTTTGCCAAAAAAAGGCATCAGCTGTTTCCTACCAAATCGCCATGGTCTCTTGCTCAAGTGCTAGCGTTTCCAGGTGACAGTAAATATAGGAGAGCTCAGCTTGACTTGTAGTTGGTCCAGTTGGTCAAAAAACAGAGTCAAACGGTATGTGTCTGTCGTCTGCATGTGCACAGGCTTCCTTCTAGGGGCTGACAGAGGGCAGCGGGAGCAGGATGCCACTATGCTGGCAAACTTAACTTCTTACCTTTTAGAACTGTGGGAGGAAGGATTTCAGTATTTATGCCATTGATCTCACAGCATATTATACCAGTAGTCTCCAATCTTTTTGAACACGAGATCACATTTTAAATTTAAGTGCAATCCAAGATCTCCCTCAAATATAAATACCCTTGCACTGCCTCCTTCCCGCCCCTTCCCCAAGGCCCCACCCTTACTCACTTCATCCTCCTTCTCTTGCCCATCCTCACTCACTTTCATCAGGCTGGGGCAGAGGGTTGGGGTGCAGGCTCTGCTCTTGGATTAAGGGATCTGGAGTGTGCAAGGGGCTCTGAGCTGCTCTTGGGGCAGGCAGTTGGGATGTAGGAAGGGGTCCTAGGTGCAGGCTCTGGGAAGGCGTGTGGATGCAGGGGTACTCGGGGCAAGGACAAGGGCTTGGGGTGCAGGAGGGGATTCATGACGAGTAGGATTTTGGATATGGGCCTCAGCTGAGCACTGCTGCTAGCTCCTGGTTGGCTCCTGCTGTGAGGCTAAGGCAGTCTCGCCTCTGCTCTGGCCCTGGACCACTCCCTAAAGCAGCCAGCAAACTCCCTCCCAAGTCCTGTTGTGCCCCCTCTCTGCTCTGTGGAGAAAGGATATGGAGTGGGAGAGGGGGCACCCTGACATCAGCAGCCTTCCTCTCCCTCCCCTGCTCTGCACAGAAAACAAGAGGCTTCCAGAGGGAGGGGCAGCTCCAAGGCAAAGGGCAGGAGATGAGCAGCATTGGGGGGAGGGGCAGCTGAAGTGCTGACACTTGATAGACTCTTGGCCAAACCAGTCAGGATCCCCTGTCAGAGGCACCAAGATCTACCAGCAGATCCTGATCTACTGGTTGGTGACCACTGAATAATACCTTCGCATGCCACTGAGGCGCAACCCCCTCTGGGATAGGGATGTGATAAGCAAATGCTTATTGGATAGTCAACAGGCTAGTCAACTAGTCCCCCCCCCCCTCCCCCAGTTGCCTCTATCAGAAAGAAGCAGCAAGGGTGGGGAAGATGAGGGGATACTTCAAAGCAGCAGTGCCATGTGAAGCCTGGGGCCAGACCCTGGGCTCTGTGCGGCGCTGCCGCTTTGAAATGCCGTATGCAGCCCAGGACCAGCTGGGGTGTCCCAAGGCTGCATGCGGCGTTTCAAAGCAGCAGCGCTACATGGAGCCTAGGATCACCGGAGGAGTCCCCAGCTGACATCGGGCTCCACAGGGCACTGCTGTTTCGAAATGCCACAACAAGCCTGACACTGGGCTCCCTGCAGTGTTTTAAAGCTGCAGGGCTTCGCAGAACCTGGAGTCAGTGAGGGATTCCCCAGCTGATCCCAGGCTCCACTAGATGATTTCGCCTTTGAAATGTAGCAACAGCCCTAGGACTGCTGCTACACTTCAAAGGCGAAGGCGCCCTATCAACTAATCGAATAATCGATGCAATATGTATCGACTATTCAATTAGTCAATTACTCGCAATTTAACATCCCTACTCTGGGGTGAGACACAGCAGCTGCTTGTACAAGGAGCTGTTACTCAACATTGAGATGCAGCCACTTCTGCTATTTATCAGCTCATAGCCATGCTAAAAATGTATGACAAGCAAGAACAGAGACCAAATACCAAGTCTTGAATTTTAGGCACAGTGTGACACTATTGCAAAAAAAGCAAACATGATTCTAGGATGCATTAACAGGTGTGTTGTGAGCAAGACCCGAGAAGTCATTCTTCCGCTCTACTCTGCACTGATTAGGCCTCAGTTGGAATAGTGTGTCCAGTTCTGGGCACCACATTTCAAGCAAGATGTGGAGAAATTGAAGAAGATCCAGAGAAGAGCAACAAGAATGATTAAAGATGTAGAGAACATGACCTATGAAAAAAGACTGAAAAAAATTGGCTTGTTTAGTTTGGAAAACAGAAGACTGAGAGGGGACAGGATAGTGGTTTTGAGGTATCTAAAAGGATGTCACAAGGAGGAGGGAGAAAAATTGTTCTTCCTGGCCTCTGAGGATAGAACAAGAAGCAATGGGCTTAAACTGCAGCAAGGGAGGTTTAGGTTGGACATTAGGAAAAAGTTCCTAACTTTCAGGGTGGTTAAACACTGGAATAAGTTGCCTAGGGAGGTTGTGGAATCTCCATCTCTGGAGATATTTAAGAGTAGGTTAGAAAAATGTCTATCAGGGATGGTCTAGACAGTACTGGGTCCTGCCATGAGAGCAGGGGACTGGACTCGATGACCTCTCGAGGTCCCTTCCAGTCCTAGTATTCTATGATTCTAAACAAGGGCCTGATTCTTAGAAGTGCTGAACACACTCAGCTCCCATCGACCTTGGAGCAGCCAACCCTTCTGACAAAACCCAGCTACTTCATCGGATGGATTTTGACTTCTAACTTTAGGCAACAGCATTTGACAGAGCTGGATGGTGCGGCAGGCAGGCACAGCAGGGACACCAGGGTCATGAGATAAAATCACCCCAGTGCATGGATTTGCCAACTTGACGTTCACAGTAAAGCCCCACAGGGCCTTTGACAACCATGCTAGGTCTATGTCATACAACTTGCTGATTACCAGCATCACCCCTAACAGCGTAGGTCCTTTGACCCTAGCTGTCCATACATGATCAGCATGGGAGTAGGGTGAGCTGATTTCCAGAAGAGTTAACTGGGATACAGTAAAGGGAAGTGACATGTTTTCTCTCTAGACCATATAGTGAATCAGTGTCAGAATCCAGGAGTTCTGCCTGCCACCTGCCCTCTGTAACCACTACACCCCACTCCCCTCCAAGAGCAAGGACAGAACCCAGCAGTCCTGGCTCCCAGCCCCTCCTGCTCTAACCCACGAGACCCTTCACCCTAATCTGTGGTACTCACCTTTTGTGATGTAGAGGTAGAAGAAGTCACAGTAGAGGATGGTCTGCACCAGCCCAGCCACTATGGCAATCAGGTCAAAAAAGCCCTCCTGCTGGTAGCGCCAGATCCAGTTAAAGAGGTAGAGGGTGCGGTAGATGCCCAGGGCGAAGAGATAGTGGCTGGTGATGGTCTCCGCCTCCCCCGTCTTGCTCACCATGAACAGCTGCGGCAAGATGGCCACCGACTCCAGGTAGATGGAGAATGTCCAGAGGATCTTAGGACCCGGGTGGCAACGGGGAGAACTAGTTAAAATTCATGCCGGAGTCCATGAGATTTCCCCCACACCAGGCTCTAGGCGGGGAGACAACCTCCCTCTCTGCCCACCCCCAAACTAACCAAGTCCTACCCAAATGGCCTGGTGGTGCCCCCCAAAGGTCTGGGGCCACTGTTACCTCCAGCGGAGTGAAGTCATGGTTCACCAGGAAGGCCAGCACAGCGGTGGGCACCACGAGGAACTCCACACGGAAGGTGTCATGGTTCCCATCATATGTGGCTTTGAACTTGCTGTAGATCAGCCAAACTGTGGCATAGGAGCAGGCGATGTACACCATCTAGAGACAGAGGTGGAGTTAGATGTCAGCCCACCCTCCCCCACTGCTTTCCATGAGCAATGAGGTTGCAGTCACAGAAAAGAGCCTGTACTAACCTAGCTCAAGGCAGCCCCCACACCTAGGTGCCATGACATGGGCTGTCCACTTCCAGCACCATCACTCATCACTGTGACATAGCCCCTCTGAGGTCGGCCATGGGGGCTGGTGGTTATACGGGGATCCTTAGATGGGGTTGAGGAACTGGTTATATAGGGATCCCGTGCCCGATGTAGAGATGGAGCCCCTCTGGAGACATGGGGGCTTGTTATACAGGAGCCTCTCACCCACTGCTTACATACAAACACTCTGAGGTGGGACACCTTGTCTGGATATACAGGGTCTCCCTGTATAGGGGAACATAGGGGCTAATTATATGGGAACCCCCTCACCTGATATGGAGATGCGGCCCATCTAGTATGGGGTATAGAGGCTAGTTATACAGGGGATCCCTTGCCCAGTATTGAGATGTGTCCCCTCTGGAGTGGGACATGGGAGCGAGGTATATGGGACCCCGCACCTGGTGCAGAGATGCAGCCCTTCTGCAGCGGGGTTCAGGGGCTGGTGAAAATGCACATGACAACTCTATTCAAGATTTTAGCCGGGGATGACAATGAACAAGCCATGCAACTGAGTCCCAGGGGAGAGTGGGCAGCAGTGGAGGAGGAGTGTGTGAGAGGGGATCTGGGAATTGGGGAACAGGTGGCGGGAGAGGGGCCAGGGAGCCCTCGGGCACAGCATTACCTTCATGGAGGTGTTGTAGAGGGAGATGAAGTTGGTGACCAGGTCCAGGTAGCGGGTGGTGAACACAACAGCAAAGAGAATCTGGCTCTTTCCAGAGATCCCTGCCCCCGGGGGAAGAGAGACAGGACATGTAGTGGGGATCAGGGGGACAACTGGGGGCTGTGCAACAGGAGTGAGGGGCACCTGCGAAGCTGGGGGGGAATTGAGCCCACAGCTGGTCTTTAAGGGGGACTCTGTAGATGCAGAGTGAGGCACACCAGGCCTACTGTATCCAGGGCCTTTCCCACCTTCCCTGCCCGCAGCTTGCTCAGCAGTCTGGGGAAGCTGCCAACTCCAGCCCGGGGCTGCCTCAACAAATCAGGCCTCCGGCTTCAGTCCCTTGCAGCCCCCTGCTCTATGTGTGTGTGTTGGGAAGAGGGGTGCCTGAGGGCCTGTGCCCCAGATATTCCAACAGAGATGATAGGGGGAGCGTAACAAATCAACCCCCCAAAACTCCCCCAAAGCCACTGGCCACAGAATGACCCAATCACTGGGGCTTTAGACACCCCCTTTCCGAAGCTCCACAACATCCCACAAAGGAGGGCATAACCTCTCAAACTTCTCCGAAAGGCAGCTCCTCAAGTGAGGAAACCCTTTTCCTCCCCCTCCCAAGTCCTCCGCTCTCCAACACTCTGTATGTACAAGACTTCATGCCCCTCACAAAGGGGTCTCCAAAATTCAGAAGAGAATATTCCCACCCCACCTCAAAAATACACGGGGGTGCCCTGGACCTCGCAAAGTAAAACGGCCTATTCCCCTTCACGGGGGGTGTCCGCTCCCCCAAAATGAAGTGTAATCCCCAAATCTCGCCACACTCCCCTTTACTTCTCCAAATAAATCGAGCTCAAGGCCTATCCCAAAAGGAAGGGGTTTGCTGGCAGGCTGAGGCCCCCAATTTACTTATACACTCCATGCACCCATATAATTTAGGGGGCACATTGTTTCCCAGAATCACCTTCACGTACCAGCGCCGCCCAAATCAAGCAGACCCTCTATTTTGGCTGTCTCTCCCGCTCCTCCGCAAAATAATCGGCAGAAAGCAAACTTGAGGGATGACAAAGCCGCTGGAAAATGGGTGGACTGAGAACCCCAGGAACCCCCACAATGCCTGTGACGGAGGAATGCCTGGGGAGCCCACGCACCCCAACATTTTCCCTTTATTACACGGAAGTCGGAGAACCACCCTGCTCCGGCCAAAGGCCGGTCTGAGTCAGCAAGTACCCCCCCAAAGGCCCTGGGTTAGTTTCCCGTGGGACACCCGGAAGCGTAGTTTGGGGGTGCAGAGGTGCGGTAAAAGGGGTCCCTTCCTTACCCGCACAGGACCTCGACTTCCAGATCTTCAGCAAGAGGATGATAATTGCCAAGAGGTGGGAAATGTCCCCCAGGAATCGGAAGATGTTCATGGCTGTCGGGGCAGGGCGGTGGAGGGGGCGCCGAGGTTTTTTGGGGGGGGAGGGGCACCCCTTACTGTCTGGGTAGGCCCCGGCCGGAGTGTATGTGGGACTGGGGAAACAAGGCCCGAGCTGCTCGAGAAGGAGGAGCAAAGCAAATCCCCTCCCACCCACGGGGCTGGGCTGAGAGCCGGGAGAGAAATGACAACGTGTCCTGCTCCTCCACGAGCCGGGGAGAGAACCCAGGAGTCCTGGCGCCCTGTGTTCCAACCAACAGACCCCACTCCCTTAGCAGAGCTAGGGAGCGAACCCAAGTGCTCCCCACTCACTTCCCAGAGCTGAAGAACCCAGGACTGCTGACTCCCAGATTCAGAAACAAAGCAGAATGATCTTAGTGGCACCCCATTGCTCCCTACATTTGCTGTCACCCAAGTCGTCCTTCTGCTTGCAAGAATCCTCCCCCTCTGAGCTCCATACAGGACCTCCAGAGCAAACGGATTTTTAGAGGTCCTCCCCAGCCCCTGCTCTCAGCTCAGGGACACCCTACTTACCTGCCCCCCAAATCTCAACCCCAACCAAATACTCAGTGACTTCACCTTAATAATCACTACTGCCCCAATGTCTCAGGACAGTGCTAGTACTGCACAGAGTGAGGTGGGGGTTCAGCCGGGGGCGCAGTACTTCAGGGAACAGGGCAGGAGTCAGTTGGGGCACTGTGTCCCCTATAGTCAGTGCTGACTTCGGTGCCCCAGGGCAGCACTAGGAGGCGCTGTGCTTACAGAGTTACTACATTTCTGATAAGATGAGCATGTCAGAGCCAGAACTCAGGAGTCCTGGCTCTGGGTGGGAAATGGGGTCTGGTGGTTGGAGAATCAGCTCTGTGACCCCTCCTCCATCCATTCAGGAGCAGTAATAACACTCCCTCCTTCCCCCAGGTTTCCCCAAGAGAATGGGTTCGTGCCCTATGGGCCTCTAGGCCCCACTCCCAAACAACCCCCTGGGTATTAGCCCAGCTGGGTATTAGCCCAAATAACAGAACCAGGGGGAGGGCAATTCTTCCAGGCTGAGGTGCAGCATCAGGGGGAGGAGGACCTAGCTAACAGGGAGCAGGGGAGTTGGGGGTTACCCCCAGGCTCCAACTTCACTGGATGTCCTGGCACAGAGGCTGGTGCCACTCAAAGATCTCCATCCTGTGCCTGACAGGGGACCCGGCTTGGCAGTGCCCAGTAGAAGCTGTGTGTGTTTGGAGGGGGGGCGAGCTGCCAGGTCACCCTGCCCCACTAGCAGCTAGTTCAGGAAGTGGCTGGAATGATGTGCAGGCCAGAGCTGGGGAGAGATGGAGGAGAAATTATCTTAATCCCCTGCTTTACCCACTAGACCCAAGCCCAGAGGTAGAACATGGGAATCCTGGCTCCCAACCCCTCTCTTTCCAGGGACCCCTCGCCCAGCACTGAGACATGGCTCCCTCCAGGAGAAGGGGGGGCTACAGAGGCTGTTTATACAGGAACACCTCACCAGGTCTGAGACATTGACCCCTCTGGATGGGGGCGTGGGGGCTGGTTGTTTATATAGAGACCTCCTTACCCAGGTCTGCAACGCAGCCCCTCTGGGGAGGGCACGGGGGTGTGTAACAGCTGCACCCAATGTTTAGGATAGGCAGAGAAAGAGCATCCTGCCTCAAAAGCAGGCTGCTGCAGAAGATTTAGAGGTGGCTGCCCAGAATCCTGGGACCTGGCATGGCCCAGACCTCAGGGTCTGCTGAAGGGAAAAGGCCCTTTAGCCCACCTATGATTCTCAGTTCATGTAGCCATACCCCTTCTGGCCAGAAGGGGGCAGCACTAGCACAGGAACCAGCATAGCCAGCCTGAGCCCTGGGCAAACTCCAGGCACTGGTTTGTACAAACCCAGAGAGGGTGTTTTTGTCCCATTACCTGGGGATGGAACCCCAGCATCCTACCTTCCAATCCTAGCATGTGCCATAGAGCCAGGCAACAGATTATAGACAAGCCATAGGGCAGGGTTTCCCACTCTCACCACTAGGCCCCACTCCCCACCCAGAGTTAGTGATAGAACCCAGCAGTCCTGGCTCCCAGCACTGTCCTCATAAGCATGGCTCCATGTGCCTCACGTGCTGCCCAGCAGCTGGGGCCCTGGAGGACTGGAAGACAGTGAGGAAGGTGGGTGGGGGCACCTCTGGCTCGCAAAGTGAGAAAGCAGCTGGTGCTGGGGGGGAGCCGGCATGGGCGTGGGTGGGCGCTATTCCCCTCACGCTGCCAGGGTCGAGCAGCTGGCGCTCCGCAGCAGTCACGCTCCCCTGTTTGCTAACTATGCTGGTTAATTGCTTTCCGATCCACATGAGGCGAATGGTAAGCAGGACAGCCAGCCTGCTGGGGGGAGGTGGGAGGGGCTAGGAGCCAAGGCTCCTAGGTTCTCTTCTCAGCTCAGGGAGGGGAGTGGGATCTAGTGGTCAGAGCAGTGGGGACTAGACGCCAGCACTCCTGGGGGCTTGTGAGAGGAAATCCATTGATATTTCTAAAAGGCCTCAGATGGATGCTTAGAAAAAGCTGTAGATAGATTAATAGCTCTGTTCCAGTTATAGCTTTTTTACAATGCAGCTGCCTCTGGTGGGATGCGGGGGCTATTTATATTGAGACCCTTGCCCAGTGCTAGAACTTGGTCATGGCTGGGGTGAGATGCAGGGGCCAGTTAATGTGGACTTCTCATCTGGTGCTGAGATGAGGCCTTTTTGAGGTTAGGCACAGGTGCTGGTTATATGGGAACCCTTCACATGGTACTGAAATGCAGCCCCTCAAGGGTGGAACATGGGTGTAACAACTCACAGGAACATCTGGGGCAGGAGATGAAGTTCCCCATTGAAATGTCAGGGAATTTATGGGACTGGTCCAGGACACCTGGTTTCACAGCACAACTTTGGAAAGAAAAAGCCGAGGAACAAGGGACGAGCCTGACACCACCTGTAACAAAGGCCCCTGGGGCTGGGTGAGCAGGGGTCATGGGTCCAGAGCGTGGAGCCATGTGTGGAATGAGTTCCCCTCCCTCATCATTCCTGGAGCCTCCTGGGGGGAAAGGGTTTAAAGATATGGCTCATGGGCTTTTGGGGCCATGGAGCATCAGGAATTTCAGGGGCCCAATGTGGGGCACCAGCAGCTCACCACCACCTCTCAGCAGGGTCAGATCAGCCCCCTTCCAAGAACATCCCAGCTGTCCTAGGTCCTTCCCCACTGTCTCCTTCACCTAGGCCCTCCCAGAGCCAAGGAGAGAACCCAGGTGTTCAGTGTCCCCCCCTCGCTCTAACCACTAGACCCTAATCCCCTGCAGGAGCAGGGCTGGAACTGATCAGCTCTCTCATCACACCCAGCTGGTGCTCTGCCGTTATATTTTCTATCGGCCGAGTCTATTTTTTCCTCCTTTCTTCCTCCTTCCCCTTGTTCTCTACAGAAAGCGTGAGCGTCACGAATAGGGGACGGGGCCTTTGTTCCTGTGAGCTGCCTTGCTCCCCGCTGCTCCTAACCAGCCCCAGTCGCAATCCAACGCGGCTTCCATCATCGTGCCTGCTCCAGCGGAGTGTGTGGGACCAGCCGGACAGCACCAAGAGGAGACAACTGGACTGAGGTGCTAGGGGCGCTGGGTGTGGGGTCAGTAGGGGGCGTTTTTCTCCCCTGGTAGTTTGTCCTGGGTGGGTGATCTTTTTGTAAATACCTACCCCATAGTGACCCTAGGGTTCTGCCCTCCCACCCCACCCCAGACTATAGGGTTAAACCTCTACACTCTTCTTTCTCTTTCTGAATCTTAAGGAAATTACAGAGGGGGTGTTTCACCATCAGCCAGCAAGCTTCTGAGACCCCTCCTCCCCATTGCATAGTACCCCTTTGGTTCAGGGCTCACTGACAGGGGAATGCCCCTCTTCTGCACCAGGGCCTCTAGGAACAGCCAGGCACTGTAAAGGGAAGACTAGCCCAGCCACTCCCGCCCCTTAGAGGTCAACCCTTTGCCAACCCCCTGGTCTTGCCTCCACTCTCCTCACTTCCTAGACCTTGCTTAGCTTGCAAGGCCGGTTGTTAGCACAGCTGACAAAGTGCTGCAGGGCAAATCGGGCCCAGGCCTCTCCGGGAGTAGAGGAGGGAAGGGAACGTACCTTTGGGTACCTCGGGCTAGGGCCCCTCCAGGAATGGAGGAAGAAGGGAATGTACCTTTGGGTACCTTGGGCTGGACCCCTCCAGGAATGGAGGAGGGAAGGGAATGTACCTTTGGGTACCTTGCCCCCCCCTTTGACATACATCCCTTACACTGCACACACAAACCCTCTGAGCCATACATGCCTAGGACACCCCTCCTCCCCACACACATGCACATACCGCTCTGACACATGCATCCGGTGCACACCGGCATTCACACTCCCCCCCCCCCCCTTACATACACCCTTGGACAATCCTTGTCCCCTCACCTGCTTACTTTCTCTCATTCTCCTGCTCTGCTCCGCAGGAGGAGGGGGAACTAGCCAGCAGGGCTGAGGGTTGAGATTTGTGGGGGGAAGGGATATTTATATCTTCCCCCCAGTACTCCCCCTTTTTGCTCCACGCTCTCCCCTCCCATTGCGCTCCATCCTTTTCCCTTCACAGCCCCCCCAGTTTAATTACAGGGGTGATGCCTGCGCCCCCCACTCACACACCCCCTTCCTCCGGCGATGGCTGGATTGGGGCCCCTTCGCTTCAGTCAAGCCGGGCCCGCAGCGCCGGGCTCCAACCTGCGCTCGCCTGGCTGGGCGGCGATGGGCTGTGAATGTTAATGACCCTGGCGCTGTGTGTGTGTGAGTGTGTGTGTGTCCCAGGCGGGTGTGTGTAAGAGCGAGCCGGGGCGGGTGTAGCTCTGCGTTAGAGGAGTCAAACCACCCGCTCCCCTCCTTCAGCCCCCCGCCCCCCTCCCCCTCCCG